GAGATGGAGTCTCACTTTGTCACCCAGGCTGGAGTGCAGTGGCGTGATCTCAGCTCACTGCAACCTCTGCCACCTGGGTTCAAGCGATTCTTCTGCCTCACCCTCCCAAGTAACTGGGACTACAGGCACTCGCCATTATGACTGGCTAATTTTTGTATTTTTGTAGAGATGGGGTTTCACCATGTTGGCCAGGCTGGTCTCGAACTCCTGACCTCAGGTAATCTGTCTGCCTCGGCCTCCCAAAGTGCTGGGATTACAGGTGTGAGCCACTGCGCCAGCCAACTTTGCTTTTAGACCTCCCTTCTGTGTGCAACCCTACAACCACATCCTGATGTCTGCCTTGTGCAGGATGAATTGCCCATGTCTCTCTCCGCTGGCAGTGCGAGTTCCTGAGGACAGGGCCTGTGTTTCCTTCGCCACTGCTTTGCTCCCGGCATAGGCGTGGGTGGGAGACTAGTGGGTATGCCCTGTCAGGCTTCTATCAGCTCAGAGACTGAGGTTCCAGGAGGACATGCAGCATCCATGGAGCAGCAGCCTTGATCTTGGGTTTCCCACCGGCCCAGAATGACGTGGCTCTGAAGCTCACCCAAATGCCTGCAGGAACTCGACCTTTCCATACAAGTGACAGCACAAAGGTGGAGAGGGCAAGGCCGCTGGAGACTGGGGAAAGGAGCTAACCTGTGACTCTCTGTGAACACACGAAAGATTTTTCTAGTCAATGGGTGTTATCTTGGTTTCTAGAATGATATGATCAAGCTCCCTTGATAGGAAACTTAATCAGGATCAATCTTATAACCAATCCTGCTTGTCCAGCTGAACGGCTCCCTGGAGGTGAATGCCTTCTCAGTCTCAGGGTTCATCCCAGGCTGGATCCAAGACAAACCACGAGCCTGAGTCCCAACTTAGCTGTACTGCTCCCGGGCAGAGCAAGTGACCGGGCTGTGAAAATCCTTCTCTGGGGGTGAGTCCTGAGTAAAGGGCCTGCAGACCTACCGGATCACTGCAGAAATCACAGAGGTCATTGCCGCCTATAAACAGGGTTATTATCTTCCAGTCTTCCTGAAAGTGTATCCTCTGAAATGAATAAGAAACACACAATCAAGCACCTTGTCCCAGAGTCAAGCCAAGGAAAACACTTTTCTAGTGCTTGACACTAGAAAAGATGGGTCCTCACACACTACAGTCTCATGGACTTTCGAATGTTCTGTTCCTTGGTTTTGGGCTCCTCAGATCATAGGTGCTAATGGTTCATTATTTTAGGTGGAATCACTGAACTTCCATGTGGCTCTGCCCACACACAAAAGCACACACGTCACAGTTTCCACGTGTCCTGGTGGGAGTGGATACAGATGCCCTCTGAGCTCTGTTCCTCCATCTCCAGCATAGCAAGGAAGTGGGGAGGGGATAAGGAAGCTGGTCTTGGCCATGGGACAGGAACGTTTGTTCCAGAATCTTCTAGAAATCCTGAATTCTAATTTTGCCTTAACAGAGAAAGGACCACCTTTCATTAAGAGGGAGCTCTCCAAATTTGGAGTACTCACACTGGTGACTAGCTCTGCCTATGAACTAGTCAAGCCAGAGAGGATGGGTAGAGTAAGGTGGCAGCTCTAAGCACAAGCTCTGAAAAGATTTGGCCACCTCTGGTATCTGTCTCCTCCAAGGAGGACCTGGAGAAGTACGTGAAGTCACAGGGCTGTGTGGAGAGGGTACAGCCACACACATTCCATAAACTATGGCCCCAGGGCAACCACGGCCCTTCAAGCCTCTTATATTGCCCCAGGCCTACATAGCTTTACTTCTCTGATCTGCACTTCCAAAAGAGGGTGGAAGGAGGAAGGTGAGAACAAGATCCAGAAAAGTTTGACATTAAGGGTAGAAATACCCTGAAAATATCCCAGTAATAGACTTTGTTGTACATTAAATTATATATAACATAATTCATCCTAATCTTCCTTTTTATTTTACCCACCTAGAAACCCCTGCAAACAGCCTCTGAATTGAGACCCATGCTTTCCTTTGAAGGGGAGCCTCACATTCATCTCTCAGAACCCTGGTCAAACATCTCCTCTACTTTTATTTTCTGGTACTGCTCCTTGCAGACCGGGGCTCTCCCATAGGCCATGTGCCCAGAATAACAGCCAAAATCTCCTTCTCAAGCCTTCCCTGACCATCCTAAGCAGAGGGGCCGGTCCCTTCTACGTCCCACCCTGTCTTACACAGAACCCTTTTGATGCAGCACGTGGCAACTGTTCTATAATTTGATTCTTCACATTGGTCTCCTCTTCCAAGCTCCTTGAGGACGGGACTGTGTTGTATTCTTTCGTGTATCTTCAGCCCCAGCCTGATGCCTGACTCACAATAGATGTTTAATTTCAACAGCCGACTGACTGAACAAACAGGAATCACCTTTCCAGAGGAGCAGCGTTTTAGGCTTCAGATGTGTCTGCTAGAAACCCACGCCAGGCTCCCAACCACCCCTCAATCCACAGCTGATCTTTTCTGTGTCCACGGATTTCTCTTGTCTACTTCCCATCCCAGGGACTCACCGTGTCATTCTTCATCAGGTCCACCAGCCTCCTGGCCTGGACAGGTAAATCCCTGCGGACACATACCAGAGGAAGTGCTGTGAGGAGTGGGGACTGGCAGGGGCTCTTAGCAGAGAGAACAGCAATCAAATGTACAGTGGAGGAAGGCCCAGGGTGGGCCTCCTGCGGGAAAATGGACTGAAGGTCATGTCACAAAGCTCCTTCCCCAGTCATGCTTCACTGTGGGGGTGCTGGGTGGTGACTGTGCTTGGGAAGGCCAGAGCACTGCACATAGGAGGGGGTGACTCTCAGTGTGACTATTTCTTTTTCTTTCCCTCCCCCGCCACCCGAGATGGAGTCTCGATCTGTCGCCCAGGCTGGAGTGCAGTGGCACAATCTCAGCTCACAGCAACCTCTGCCTCCTGGGTTCAAGCAATTCTCCTGATTCAGCCTCCCAAGTAGCTGAGATTACAGCCATGTGTCACCATGCCCAGCTAATTTTTGTATTTTTAGTGGAGACGGGGTTTTACCATGTTGGCCAGGCTGATCCCAAACTCCTGACCTCACGATCCATCGCCTTGGCCTCCCAAAGTGCTGGGATTCCAGGCGTGAGCCACCGCGCCCAGCCAGTGTGACTATTTTCTGATTGGCATATTTGGTATGGTGTACTTTTCTTTTCCTTCCAAGCCAGGCTTGTTCAGGGCAAACAGAAGGTTTGCCTGTGAGTATTTCACATCATGCACATGTCATGGCACCCCCCATTTTGGCAGGTGCCATAGTCTAAGCCCTCCTACCCTTAAGATGATGTAGTCTAGTCAGATGCACCTGGGTTGGGCACTTAAGTGCCTCTTGCTAACTGTGTGAAAGTGACTCTAATTCTCAGCTCAAAAAGACCACAAAATGGAGACAAGCTCACTGATCTTGGACGGTCATTGGGAGCAGTAGATGGGAGCCACTGCTGGTGCCAGACTGCCAGAGGTTGAATCCTGGTTCCACAAATGACCAGCTCTGAGACCTTGGCCAGCTACTTGATCCTGCAAACCCTCAGTTTTTCCCTTTGGGAAACGGGGATGGTAACATACCTTCCTCTCAGAGCTGTTGGGGAAATTAAATGAGGTGCCATATAAAGAACTTACAACAGTGCTTGACACATAGTATGCAACCACTGAGTTATTTCTGCCATCATTCCCACCATCAGCATTGACAAAGTCCCTGGCACAGGGCTTAGCAGGAAACATTAGTGGTCATCCTCTTTCCCTCTTATCTATTTGCCCTCCTGGCCTGATGTGAGTCAAAGTACACTAGGTATTTGGTTACCTGGATGGGGACTGCACGTAAGTCACTTAACCTTTTTGAGCCTTGATTTCCTCATCTGTAAATCTGAAGTTATCAGAGCAGCTGCTCTGTTGATGGAACAGAGTTTGAGGATGATTACTCAACCACTCTGAAACTCTTTTTTTTTGAGACTGAGTCTTGCGCTATCACCCAGGTTGTAGTGCAATGGCGTGATCTCAGTTCACTGCAACCTCCACCTCCCAGGTTCAAGCGATTCTCGTGCCTCAGCCTCCCAAGTAACTGGAATTACAGGCACCCGCCACCACACCCGGCTAATTTTTGTATTTTTCGTAGAGACGGGATTTCACTATGTTGGCCAGGCTGATCTCGAACTCCTGACCTCAAGTAATCTGCCCACCTTGGCCTCCCAAAATGCTGGGATTACACGCGTGAGCCACTGTGCCTGGCCGAAGCTCAAGTTTATCATTGGTAAAACATGGGAGTCTGATGTTTTGCTCTGTTCATCTCATGGTTATTGTGCAGACTACAGGGATGATAAATGTGAGGGTACCTTGTAAATGGTGCACTGCTGTATCCGCATGATAGCTATTGTCAGACCTGGAATAAAGCCTGCAGGGCACAAGGCCAGACTATGTGGTCAAGTCGATGCATTTGTTCAGGCCATGTGGCCTCTCTGTGCTATAGTTTCTTCCATTGTAATACAGGAATAATAACCCCCAACTTTTCCCTGCCACCCAGGATGTGCTTGGATTGCTTGCATGAGAGCCCCAAGTCCTCTGGCAAAGCAAGGACAGAAACCCAGGGCCAAATCAATCACATTCATTTTTGGTTACTTTTATGCTCTTGACTCTAAGGTTTCATTCTTGGATGCCTGCCTGACCTAATCATGCTTACAACTGTCTTTCCTCTTATACTACCAGCCCACATATGCTTGGAAAAAGCAAGATGATGGTACTATTAAAGCAGTAAACCTGTAGCCTTTTAACTCTATCAACATCAAAAGGAAAAGAAAGCCCCAGAATTCATCATAAGACCTATTGGGCCTTCTGGATGCTGTGGCTCACACCTGTAATCCCAGCACTTTGGGAGGCCAAGGCGGGCAGATCATGAGGTCAGGAGATCGAGACCATCCTGGCTAACACAGTGAAACCGTCTCTACTAAACATACAAAAAATGTGCTCATAGTCCCAGCTACTCAGGAAGGTGAGGCTGGGAAATCACTTGAACCTGGGAGGCAGAGGTTGCAGGGAGCCGAGATCGTGCCACTGCACTCCAGCCTAGGCAACAGAGTGAGACTCTGTCTCAGACAAACAAACTAAACCTATTGGAGTTTGTGTTACTCATTACTTTGGATACTGTGTCACCTTTCCTACTGGTGATGAATAAGAAAGCTACTTAGGTGGCTCATGGTCTCAGGATGGTGCTGAGAGCTGGAAGGATGTCAGGAAATCTAGGAACCAAACCACATGATTCCTAGGAACCACAATGTAGTGTGATAATTGTGATTAAAAATAGGATCTAAAAAAACCAAATCATCCCATCAAAAAGTGGGCAAAGGTCATGAATGGTCAATTCTCAAAAGAAGATATACAACCAGCCAACAAACATGAAAAAATGCTCAACATAACCAAATATCAGGGAAATGCAAATTAAAACAATAAGATACCACTTTACTCCTGCAAGAACGGCCATAATTAAAAGGTCAAAAAATAATAGATGTTGGCCTGGATATGGTGAAAGGGAACACTTTTACACTGCTGGTGGGAGTGTAAACTAGTACAACCACCATGAAAAACAGTGTGGAGATTCCCTAAAGAACTGAAAGCAGAACCACCATTCGATCCAGCCATCCCACTTCTGGGTATCTACCCAAAGGAAAATCAGTCGTTATATGAAAAAGACACATGCACATGCATGTTTATTGCAGCACAATTTGCAGTTGCAAAGATATAGAACCAACCTAAGTGCTCATCAACCAACAAGTGGATAAAAAAAAAATGTGGTCTATATACACCGTGGAATACTACTTAGCCATAAAAAGGAATAAAATAATGTGCTTTGCAGCAACTTGGATGGAGCTGGAAGCCATTATTCTAAGTGAAGTAACTCAGGAATGGAAAACCAAATATTGTATGTTCTCACTTATAAGTGGGAGAGCAAAGCTATGAGGATGCAAAGGCATAAGACTGATATAAAGGGCCAGGCATGGTGGCTCACGCCTGTAATCCCAGCACTTTGGGAGGCCTAGCGGGCATATCACTTGAGGTCAGGAGTTCAAGACCAGCCTGGCCAACATGGTGAAACCCCGTCTCTACCGAAAAATACAAACAAAATTTAACCAGGAATGGTGATGTGTGCCTGTGATCCCAGCTACTTGGGAGGCTGAGGTGGGAGAATCACTTGAACCTGGGAGTGGAGGTTGCTGTGAGCTGAGATTGCACTACTATATTCCAGCCTGGGCAACAGAGCAAGACCCTGTCTCAAAAAAAAAAAAAAAAGAACGATATAATGGACTTTGGGGACTCAGAGAGGAAGGGTGGGAGAGGTGAGGGATTAAAGATTACATACTGGGTAGAGTGGACACTGCTCAGGTGACAGGTACACCCAAATCTCAGAAATCACCACTAAAGAACTTACTCATGTAACCAAAAACTACCTGTACCCCAAAAAGTGTTGAAATAAAAATTAAAAATAAATATAAATAGTATAAAAAAGGATCTTCCAATTTATGTTTCCTTGATTAGGTATGGCATTCACTTGCTCTCTGACCAGGCAGCAAACCCAAGCAGCACTCAAGGCCCTGGAATCTTGGAGTGCAGTGGAGGGATGGGACCTAGGAATGCTGACCTGCCCACTCTTGAGGACCGGCCTGGCCATGCCCAGGGACCATGACAGTCATGGCTGTGCTCACTGATGTTTCCCCCGAGGTGGGCCTGCCACTTGCTGCATTACTGCCAGGACCACCATTTTGACCAATGCGTGTCATGTGTCCACTATTTACAGCTCACCAGAACCTTCATATCCAACACGACATCTGAGCTTCATGACCGCCCTGTGGGAGAGGTTCCTAACCAGCCCCACCTCTTAGAGTCTGAGGCTTAGAGAGGCCAGGGAGGAAACTGAGCTTGCACTCAGGGCCTCCCCTCCCAGGGCTGGTGCTCTTCTCGGGACACTGGAAGGATGCAGAGTTTAGAGCCCGAAAGGCACAGCTGAGGAAGGGAGGGAGAGCAGGACTCTGAAACAGCAGTGACATAGCCGTGACAATTGGGATGCAGAGTGAGCCCGCTTATAACCTATGTCTTACGTGAGATTTACAGGCAGGCAAAGTAATCTGCTCAGAGCATATGCCTGGCATCAGAGTGCACTGTGACTAGTTTCTGGGGGTGGGTGTTAGGGTAGGCTCACAGATTTCTGTAACACCTCCAAGACAGCCCCGTTCAGTCTTTGGCCCTCAAACCCCTTCCCCTGACAAAGCCCTTCAACCTTCAGCCATAAACCCAGTTTAGGCCAAGCCCCCCTCTGGTCCCCAGAAGACCTGTGCTGTTCACCGCCCCCATCACCCCAGCTCACATAGCTCGGCCTCCTGCCACAGCCTGGTTTAAGAAGGCATTAGAACTGGTTTCTTTCCCAGTGCCAACAGAGAAGCCCTTCAGGGAAGGGTTGAATTCCCGGAGGATGTCTGCAAATACAAGGAAAAGACACGCTTAGTGACTACAGCAAAGCAATCTTCAAATTCCTTTGATAAGCACCAGTGGGTGTTAGGGAGCACAGTCCCCACTCCACAGCCCCTACTCTTACCCCAACCTTCGTTCAGCATGGGAAGAAAACGTTCAGCAGGCACTAGCTTAACAACACTTAACAACAGGGCAGCACACAACAGATGTTTCATCAATTATTGCTGAGGAAATGTGAGTCTGGGTTACATGCTTTTCTCATGTAGTTTTCCTTTTTACTACATATATAGTAGCTTTATTGAAATATAATTCACTTACCACAAAATTTACCAATTTAAAGTATACAGTTCAATAACTTTTAGCATATTCACATAGTTGTACAATCATCACCATGTAATCAACTTTAGAACATTTTCATCATCCCAGAAAGAAACCCAGTACCCACTAGCAGTCACTCCCCATTCCCTGCAACCTCGTGGCAATTGTGGATCTACTCTGTCTCTGTAGTCTTGCTTATTCAGGCCATTTCATATGAATGAAATCATATAGCCCAACATACCTTTTGTGACTGGCCTCTTTCACTTAGCGTACTATTTTCAACATTCGCCCATGTTGTAGCATACATCTGTACTGCATTCCTTTTTATTGTTGAATAATATTCCATAGTATGGATATACCACATTTTATTTATCCATTCTTCAGTTGATGGGGCTTTGGGGTTATTTCCACATATTGGGTATTATGAAAAATGCTGCTATGAACATTTGTGTACAAGTTTTTGTGTGAATTTCTCTTGGATATGTATCTAAGAGTAGAAAAGATATACATATCTTTTAATGTATGTATCTTTTAATGTATGTATCTGTTTAACCCTAGCCCTAACCCTGTTTAACCTTTTAAGGAACTGCCAGGACTTTCCTCAAAGCAGCTACACCATTTTTACATTCCCACCAGCAGTTTCTGAGGGCTTCAATATTTCCATATCCCCGTCAACACTTATTATCTTTCTATTACAACCATGCTAGTGGATGTGAATTGATATCTCATGGTGGTTTTGATTTGCACTGATGGCTACTGATGTTGAGCATATTTTCATGTGCTTACTAGCCACTTGTAGAAATGTTTATTCAGATCCTTTGCCCAATTTTAACTGGGTTATCGTCTTATTATTGAGTTGTAAGAGTTCTTTATAATTTCTAGATATGAGTTTCTTATTAGATATAGGATTGGCAAGCGTTTACTTCCACTCTTTGGGTTGTCTTTACTTTCTTTATGATATGCTATCCTTTGAAGCGCAAAATATCGATTTTTCTTTTGTCACTTGTGCTCTTAGTGGTATTTCGAAGAAGACTTTGTTTAGCTCAAGATCATAAAGATCTGCTTCTATATTTTCTTCCTAGAATTAGTTGTAGCTCTTACGTTTAGGTCTATGATTCATTTTAAGTAAATTTTTGTATAAGGTGTGAGGTAGGAGTTCAACTTCATTTTTTTGGTGTGTATCTAGTTGTTTCAGCACAATTTATTGAAAAGCCTATTCTTTCCCCCATTGGTTTTGGCATCCTTGCTGAAAATGAGTTAACCATCAATATGAGAGTTTAATTTCTGACTCTCAATCTTAGTCCATTGTTTGATATGTCTATCTTTATGCTAGTACCACGTGTCTTGATTACTATAGCTTTATAGTAAGTTTTGAAATTGGTAAGTATAAATCCTCTGAATTTGTTCTTTTCTAGATTTCTTGGGATATTCTGGGTCCCCTGAATTCCCACATGAATTTTAGGGTCAGCTTGCAAATCTCTGCCAAGGAGCTACCTGGAATTTTGATAGGGATCACACTGAATCCATAGATTTGGGGAGTATTATCATTTTAAGAATATTAAATCTTCTAATCCATGAATGTCAGATGTTTTTCTACTTACTTAGGTCTTTAATTTCTTTCAGCAATGTTTTGTGATCTTAAGAGTAAAAGCGATGCTCTTTTCTGGTTAAATTTATTCCTAAGTATTTTATTATTTTTGATGCTATTGTAAATGGAATTTCATTTTCATATTAATTGCTAGTATAAAGAATCACATTTTTGTATATTGATTTGTACCTTGCAATCACTGAACTCACTTATTAGCTCTAATAATTTTTAGTGGATTTCTTGGGATAGTCTCTATATAGTATAATGTCATCTTTAAATAGAAGTGGTTTTATTTCTTTATTTCCAATCCTATTACTTGTTCTTCCATTTTCTTGCCTAACTGCCATGGCCAGTGTGATGTTGAATAAAAGTGGCAAGAGCATGCATCCTTGTCTCACTCCTGATATCAGAGAGAGGGGGCAGCATTCCATCTTTCACCATTGCCTGTGATGTCAGCTGTGGGCTCTTAAAAGATACCCTTTATCAGAGTGAGGAATTTTCCTTCTATTTCTAATTTGTTGTTTTTTTACTTTATTTATTTATTTTGAGACAGTTTTGCTCTGTCACCCAGGCTGGAGTGAAGTGGCGCAATCTCAACTCACTGCAACCTCTGCCTCCCAGGCTCAAGCGATTCTTGTGCCTCAGCCTCCCAAGTAGCTGGGATTACAGGCACCTGCTACCACACCCGACTAATTTTTGTGTTTTTAGTGGAGACAGGGTTTCACGGTGTTGGCCAGGCTAGTCTCTAACTCCTGACCTCAAGTGATCCACCTGCCTAGGCCTCCCGAAGTGCTGGTAGTACAGGCATGAGCCACTGCACCCAGCCTTTGTTGAGTGTTTCTATCGTGAAGTGGTGTTAGATTTTTGTTAAATGCTTTTTCTGATCCATTGAGATGATCATGATGTGTGGTTTTTGTCTTTTATCCTATTGACATAGAATATTACATTAATTGATTTTGAGGTTGAAAACTAACCTCATATTCCTGGGCTAATTCCACTTAGTCATGAGGTATATATATATATTTTATTGCTGGATTTTGTTTGCTAGTATTTTCTGTAGGATTTCTCGGTCTACATTCATAATACTTACTGGTCATACTTTGCTTCCCTTGTGATGTCTTTGTCTTATTTTGCTATCAGGGTAAAACTCATGGAATGAGGTGTGAAACATTCCCTCTTCTTCCGTTTTTGGGAGGAGTTTGTGAAGAACTGGTGATTGATACTAATGTTCGATAGAATTCACCAGCGAAGCCAGAGACAGTCTGGGCTTTTTTGGGTAGGAAGTTTTAAAATTATTAATTCAATCTCTTTGCTTGTTATAAATCTATTCAGATTTTCTACTTTTTATGGAGTCAATTTCAGTAGTTTGTGCCTTTCTAGGAATTTGTCCATTTCATCCAAGTTATCTGATTTATTGGCATACAACTGTTCATGGTATTCTCTAATAACCCTTTTTATTTCTGTAAGGTTGGTAGTATCTCCTCTTTCATTCTTGATTTTGAGTCCCCCTCCCTTTTGCCAGTCTAGTTAAAGTTTTGTCAGTTTTGTTGAACTTTGCAATCTCATGCATTCTAATTGCCTTTACTAATATGGATCACACTTTTCACTTTTTCATCTTTCCAACTTGGCGAGCCCTCCTAAGAGCAGAGTCTATATACCCCAGGGCCTCATATAATGCTCAACACGTTTATGGACTGAATTAGAAATAAAGCAAAGTTCAGACAAGCTTGGAGACTTGCTCAAAGTCATGTAGCTGCTAAGAATGGCTGGTCTCTCAGCTCCAATACAAGGGCACTTGCCCCCGCTGTCTCACAATCTGCTAGGATGTGAGAAAGAAACTGGGTGGGTAGCAGCCAGGACTTTAGGGCCCCTTCCAGTAGAGTGCTTGCTAGAACCCAGCACTGCTGCAGGTTTACTCAGCACAGACGGATTGGACTCATTCCTTGAGGTTGGGGGACATTACACTAATAAATGGAAATTGCTCCGATTTCTACTCAAGAGAAGAAAGGACTGTGAAATCACCTGAGCGATTTGAAAGTGGAATGGTTTGTCCTAGGAAGTGGTAGGTTCCCTAGGAGGTAGAAGGAACTCAGCACAGCCTACCCAGCTACTTAGGAAGAATGTCATAGGGAGGAACCACACATTGAGTAGGGCAACAAGTTGCTGGTGCAGGCAGTTATCTCTGCCAGGAACATTCTCTCCCCTTTCCTTACCTGACGAATTCTCATTCTTGAAGCTCCTTTTCAGAAGACAGGGTTAATAGCCTCTATGTTTATTTTCCCCTAAGCTTTGTACACATCTGTAAATATTAGTCATGTGTTTGTCTTTAGGAAGACATGCTGCCAAAGAGACTTTGGTGATGTCATTGGGGCACTGTTCTCCTATTTTCCAAGCACTCCAGCACTGGAATATTTGCTGGATTAAATTGAACAGGGGGTTGAATGGGGATTTTGTTCTGCCCTTACATTTGTATGAGTTTTCTAACACATTTCCGTATAGTTATTTCCCCATGGATTATCTATCCCCTACTATCAAATAGTCTTCACATCTCTAGCAAGAAGAGTCTAAATAGCTGGTAATCCATTTCTGGGCTAAGTGTGCCAGGGGAGTCATCCACCTGAGGGGTGACATTGTCTCAATCCTTTGTAAATTACTTTGGGGAAAGACGTGAAGCCAAATAATATCCAATTATCTTGTCCATTATACGAGCATAGAAGTAGACAGCCCAGAAAGCTGTTGTATGCAGTGGGCCATTCCACAGCCAAGTTCATCACACTCACAAAAGCACCCTGAACCATCTCCTAGCAATAGAGGAACTGATTTATAGCTCACATATGTAGACCTAAAGAAGGCAAGGAGTGCTTGTGGCACAGAACCCTGTCTACCTAAATTCAACAGGATTTACAAATAACCAAAACAGGTAATGTGAAGTCTGCTCAGCTCTGCTCTGCCTATGTGGAGATTAAGCTATGATGTCCCCCTCATCCAAGTCTTGGTGGCTTCAAGTTCAAGTTGTTAGCTTCTAAAGATATATTACAAAGGGATATGTACCAGGGAAGTAAATGAGAATGGGACCAATTAAATTCCTCCCAGACAAAATTATCAGCCAGAAGATTCCAGGAAAAGAATTCAATTTAAACATGTATGGCTTGCATACTTTAAGAACAAGCACGGAGATGTGTATGCACTGGGGAGAATTTTAAAAAGGTGATAAGACCAGACCCTTCAGAGAATATAGTCAGGCTTTAAAAAGTTATTCCGCCTGTAATCCCAGCACTTTGGGAGGCCAAGGCGGGTGGATCACTAAGTCAGGAAATTGAGACCATCCTGGCCAACATAGTGAAACCCTGTCTCTACTAAAAATACAAAAATTAGCCGGGCATGGTGGTGGACGCCTGTAGTCCCAGCTACTCGGGAGGCTGAGGCAGGAGAATGGCGTGAGCCAGGGAGGTGGAGGTTGCAGTGAGCCGAGATGGCGTCACTGCACTCTAGCCTGGCAATAGAGCAAGACTCCGTCTCAAAAAAAAAAAAATAAAGAAAAAAATCATTCCGAGCAGGTTGGTGGGAAGTAAATTAAGAAAAGTGTTGAGTCCCAAAGATGGCTGTGTCTGCACAACCTGGACAAGGTAACTTCATATCCTCCTGCGGCAAGAGCAGCAGCAGTTCCTACAGCAACTCCGCAATTCAATGTCTGTGCGCAGCTGTGCCTGCGCTCCAGGTGCCTGGATCGATGGCTCTCGCAGGGGGGTTATCTGCTCGGAAAGGCAGGTGCTGCACACCCTGGTTTCCTTTTCTTCTTTCTTGAATCACTTTTCTTTATTCTCTCTAATCTCATGCCAGATTATTGAATCACTTTTTAATGACTTGCACTAAGACGTGATCTGAGCTCTTTTTTTTCCCGCTTTACTTTCTTCCTTCCTTGGACAAAGACAATTTCTTTTTGACACCTCCCCGCCACCGGCCCCCAAGCCTCGAACCCCGCTCCGCCCCCAACTCCAAAGCTTCCGTCACTATCGGAAGCGGAGCTGGGAGTCTTGGGAGGCAGCGCCCCCTGGTGAATTTAGTGGGCTCCTGCAGCCGGCGTTCCTCCCGAGGCCGGCGCCCCCTGCCGGGGGAGCGGGAAGCATGCAGGGGCCGCCCCAAACCAAACAGCCCGGCCGCCGCCTAGTACTCACTCGCCAGGGTGGTAACGGTGCTGACGCTCTCATCTCCGCCGACGCTGTATTGTGGGTCCAAGAAAATGAAGGGTTAAAAATGCCAGCCACGCCGAGACCCTTCAGACACTAGCCAGAAACGCCCGTCTCCCGAGAAACAGCCGTGAGGCTTGGAGCTTGCCCTTTCCCATCACTTCAGTAGAAAAATGGAAAAAGCAAACCAGAATATGACTCCCCTCCCCATAGGCCAGCACATCAAACAACAAGCCAGCTTTAAACCGGCGGCTGATTTCCGCTGGTGCTGGGGCAGGGGAGGCAGGTGGGTTCCTTGCACCCCCGCTTTCAAAGGGGAAGTAGTCCCTCGTCTGCCAGCCCCTTTCCAACTAGCCACTGCACCGTGCATTAATATTATTGGTGTAAACGTAGTCTTAAAAACGCTGGCCCTATTTTTTCTCTTTTCTCTTCCTGCTTGGCTTGTAAAAGCCGTTTCTAAAAGGTGTCTTCTAGAAACTCAGCCATCTTCCAAGCCAATACTAAAATTCCAAGGTGATCAAAGTGAGAAGGATTTCTAGGCATGCAAATATGCAGCATTCCAGAGTGGACTGGATTCCCTGCTTTTCCACACCCCCCACCCCATTCTGTGCCACGCGTGTCTAGGAGCATCTAAAAGGTTCTCCAAATGTTTGGGTTTTAACTGTGCAGCAACGTGAGGAAGGATGCCAGAGAGTCGGCACTGAGGTTAAAGCAGGTGTCAGATGGAGATGCCAGATTCCAGGTGAGGAAACACCAAGCCTTCCCGGGCTTGCAGCAGAGGTTTGATCGCATGCAGAGCAGAAATAAGCCTGCCAAAGTGATACATGAGAAGGGAATGCACTGGTAGGGGCCAGCAAATATCTGCTCTGCTTCGTGATCTTTTACCTTCTGGCTCTGTGATCTTGGTCAGGTTACTTGCCCTCTCTGAGCCTTGTTTCCTCATCTGTAAAATAAAGGCCCTATAACAACAATGCTAACTACCAGATACTTACTTTGTGTCAAGCAGTGTGCTGGACACTTAAATTCTTTCTAGTCCTCAGACAGTGCTCAGGTAGTAGCATTGTTTCTGCATCAGAGATGAGGAGAGAGGCTCAGAGAGGTTAGGGAACTTGCCCAAGGTTACATCCAGCTGGGTAGCTAGGACTCAGTTACAACTCTGGTTCCAAAGGCAATGATCTGTGCATCACTCAGGCCACTGCCTCCTTCTGAGATTATATCGCAGAGGGAGAAATGGAAGCCAGAGAAGCATTTCCAACCCAAACATTTATGTAGTTTCTCTCCTAGACTCCTGGCTCAAGGCTCAGCTACTGTTCTGAGCAATGTAGTGGTTTGAGGAGGCTGGTGAACACCTTTTTCAAATTAAACCTAGAAGTTGGTCATAGAAAAGAACAAAGCAGCCCACCCCCTGCTTAAGGTGTTGTTTTCTAGAATGCTCAGGGGGTTTCCCTTGCTCTGCAATGAAGGGGTCCTTGGGGCCTTGCCACTCCCTCACTCACCTCCAGGACAGGCCTCGGTACTGAGTCAAGACGTCCAAGATGTTTCCAGGTGTGGACCCAGCCCCATTGCCTGCCTGAGAGAGAACGACGACGGGGTGAGTTTCTTTGCTTTCCCCAGTGGCCCACCTCTGCCTGCCTGCCAAAAGGTCTATGTTCTTATGCTGGCCAGGACCGCCTGGGCACTCTCTGGGATCTAGGGTCTAGATGGCACCATATCTCCATATGCATCCTGCCTTTTCAGAGGTGAGTGAGAGCGCCCACTGGGAAGACCTGGTGCTGTTCACAGCTCTGCTTCATTCTAAGAAACCCTGCCTAGGCTAAGACCAAGTGAAACTTGTCTAGCAAAAGTGCTCCTGAAATTAGACTGTACCTTTTCAAAAGGATACATTTCAGGGTCCTGTTTTTCTCATTTTTTTAAGTTGTGAAGTATATCATAAAAGGAAATATATCATTATCCTTTTATACCAATATCTCTCACCTATGCACAGTTTAAAATGTAGTAATAAAATGAAATCCCACGTAGCCATCATCAGCTGAAGAAAGCACAATGTGGACCCTCTTCAGGTGCATGTCCCTTGCCTAAAGCACGTTGTTTCTGAGCATTTGGAAGAGCATGCCGAGACAGGCCTCCTAGGCAGTTGGGGGTGAAGTCTGGTCTCCACAAGAGGCCCCCAGGTGTGATCCCTGCTCTCTGGTGCCCAGTTCCTTTGCTACTTGCCAGGCAGGTTCACACCCAAAGTGCTGCCTCCCTAGGAACCCCTGAACAGCTGTGCTGAGATGTGATGACCCCCTGTCCTGAGAGTATCTTCGAGGAGACCAGGGAATTGGGAGGAGGTGATGCCAGGCCACGCCGGGCAGGAAGAGGCTGGGATAAGCAGTACATGAAGCCGCTAAGGCCCAGTCTGCCCGTCCTTCCTGGGAGGTTATGAGCAGTCAGGCCTTTGGGGTGAAGAGTGGCTGAGGGGCCATAGAGGAGGCTGTCACAGCACAGGGATAGGGCCCTGGACTTAGGGTCAGGATCCCTGAGTTCTGATCCTGACTCGAGCACTGTGGCTGTGTCACAGCACTCACTGTGACTGAGCACTCAAGCTGTGTGGCCTGAGGCACTTCACCTTGCCCAGCTTCATTCACCTTCTTACTGATTTAGAGACACGGCCTTGCTCTGTTGTCCAGCCTGGAGTGCAGTTTGCACCATCATGGCTCATTGCAGCCTCGAAATCCTGAGCTGAAGTGATCTTCTAGCCCCAGCCATTCAAGTAGCTGGGACTATAGGCATGCATCACTAGGCTTAATTTTTTTTCTTTTTTGGTAGAAATTGGGTCTTGCTATGTTGCCCAGGCTCATCTTGACCCCCTGGCCTCAAGTGATCCTTTTGCCCTGGCCTCCTAAAGTGCTGGGATTACAGATGTAAGCCACTATGCCTAGCTATTTTTTTTTTTTTTCATTTTTGTAGAGATGGAGTCTTGCTATGTTGCCCAGGCTGGTGTTGACCTCTTGGCCTCAAGTGATCCTCCCACCCTGGCCTCCTAAAGTCCTGGGATTATAGATGTGAGCCACTGGGCCCAGACTTTATTGGTCGAATTTAAAGAAAGTCATACCTCACAGGATTTTGTCATGAAGATACATCCCACTGAGTGGGACGATATCACTGTGATAGACCATAGACATGAGAGGTGTCAGCTTGTTCTTGGGGAGGATTCAGCTGGAGACCCTCTATTCTACTGGCCCAGGGAATAGCAGCTGGACTCTGATGAGAGGCTGTTGAATGGAAGCTGTGTCTAGGAACCTCTGGGATCCCCAGCCCCCAGGCTCTCAAAAGGCCTGATTCTGCTTTTCATGGATAGTGCTTTGCAGGGTCTGAGGTGTCACCCTGGGGCAGATGCAGAGGTGGGTTTGGAACATCTCTGGCCTATCTGCCTCTTCCACAGACTCCCGTCTTCCCACCCTCCCCAACCTCCCTGCCCCCATTAGCACTTGCTCCTGTCTCATCATCTCTTCACCCCTCATCCTGGTACCTTCCCTTAGCTTTTCTACATGGACAAAACCAAGCACTGGATCCTTGGAGGAGTTAGTTCTACAGCATGGTCTGGAGATCTTATCCATCCTGCCCCACTGCTGACCAGCTGTGTGACTTGGGGTAGGTCACTCCTGTCACCCACACTCCCTCTGGGGTCCTTCCACTTCCTGCTCTTTCCTTCATCTCAGCATTGGGGAGGAAGATGAGACCAGAATGGAGGTGGGAAACCATGATGGGAAGGGAATGCTGTTGAATACCAGGGTGGGTCAGACAATGGAGAGATGGAGATCAGGACCCGAGATGGCAGCATCTAAGAGCCAGGAGTGAGACCTTCTCTCTCCATTTTCCTCTTCAGGTTCTCATATTAGTCAAAATCTTTTCCCCTCCTGCCCCTTCGGCATCAGGGTCACTTACCGTGAGAGAGTCACCCAGGGCTCCAATTACGTTGATGTCAGCCGGCTTCAGCCTATGAACTAAGAATACAAGCAGGAGTGAGTGGAAAATGGGGCTTCCAGGAAAGCACTGGACCCATCGACTCTGAAACAAAGGAATAACTTCTAGGATAATGAAGAAAAAGTCAGTTTTTACCACCAAGACACCTCAGATAAAAGACAGGAAAAACCCATGCTTGTCAATGGGCTCTGCAGTGCCAGCCGTGGAGTCTGACTGCTGGCTTCCTCTCTGGGGCACCTGGACACCAGAACAGCAAGCTTAAAGGTGGATCCTGCTTTAAGTGGGGAGCTGTGTTCACATTTGGTGAGACCAGATGCTACAAGGCGACTGGTGGCAGGCCCTTGGCAAGGTGATTTGGGAGGAGGGAAGGAATTGCCATGGAAATGCAACCAATACTTAATCTATTCTAGGATCTGATGATATTTGGGATAAAATATTACATCATCCTATCAAAATCAGTTCAGTTTCTCTAAAGTGAAAAGGGAATACTTTTATGCCACTGACTTTTTTTTTTTTTTTTTTTGTTGAGTTTTGTCAAATGCTTTTTGTGCATCTTATGAGATGATCATATTTTTTTGAGACGCAGTCTCGCTCTGTCGCCCAGGCTGGAGTGCAGTGGTGCGATCTTGGCTTACTGCAACCTCCACCTGCCAGGTTCAAGCTGTTCTCCTGCCTCAGCCTCCTGAGTAGCTGGGACTATAGGCACGCATCACCACACCTGGCTAATTTTTGTATTTTTAGTAGAGACGGGGTTTCACCGTGTTGGCCAGGATGGTCTCAATCTCCTGACCTTGTGATCCACTCGGCTCAGCCTCCCAAAGTGCTGGGATTACAGGCAAGAGCCAATGCACCCAGCTGACTGTTTTTTAATTGAGATGAAATTCACATAACTAAAATTAACCATTTAAAAAGTGAACAGTTCAGTGGCATTTAGTACATCCACAATGTTGTGCAACTATCACCTCTATCTAGCTTTGAAACATTTTCATTACCCCAAAAGGAGACCCTATACCCATTAAGTGGTCACCTCCATTTCTCCCTCCTCCCAGTCCCTGGTAACCAATACCCTGCTTTCTACCTCTATGGATTTATCTATTCTGGATATTTCATGTACATAGAATCATATAATATGTGACTTTTTATATTTGGCTTCTTCTATTTTGCATAATGTCTTCAAGGTTCAATTATGTTATAACATGTATTAATACATTCGTTTTATTTTTATGTTTTGAGACAAAGTCTTACTCTGTCACCTAGGTTGGAGTGCAGTGGCTTGTGATCATGGCTCACTGCAGCCTCGACCTCTTGGGCTCAAGTGATCCTCCCACCTCAGCCTCCTGAGTAGCTGGGATTATAAGTGTATACCACCATGCCCAGCCAATTTTTTTATTTTTTGTAGAGAGAGTCTATGTTGCCCAGGCTGGTCTCAAACTCCTGGCCTCAAGTGATCCTCCCACCTCAGCCTCCCAAAGTGCTGGGATTACAGGCATGAGCTACGGAGCCCAGCCACTTCATTCCTTTTTATTGTTGAATGATATTCCATTGTATGGATGTACCATACTTTTGTTTATCCATTCATCCACTGACAGGCATTTGGGTTGTTTCCACTTTTGGGCTATTGTGACTAGTATTGCTATAAATATCTGTGTACAAGTGTTTGTCTGAATGCCCGTTTTCAACTATTTTGGTATACACCTGAGAGTGGAATTGGTGGGTTATATGGTAATCCTATGCTTATCTTTTTGAGGAAGCATCAAGCTGTTTTCCACAGCTTGACTATATATAATTTTTATCTTTTGAGTTTAAGCATTCTGTGTGATGTGGCAGCTATTAACTCACAGGACAAACATATTGAACACCAAGCAGTGGCTGGGTGCTTTGGAGACCACACAGTGATCAGATACAGAGAATGCCCTCAAAAAGCTCACAAGCTAAGGAGAAAATGAGAAATAGCCATAGTTACTATGGTGTAAGACTGATAAACACTAACAGAGGTGTGAAGTGATGTAAGGTTATAGAGCTGGAGGGATGATCTCCCTCTGGGGGGGCCTGAGGAGAGGGTCACAGCAGGCTTCATGGAGAAGGTCGCATTTGAATTAAGCCTCAGGAATAAGAGGAGGATGAGGGAGCACGAGATCGGGTAATGGAGGGAAAAGCCTGATGGATGGATGTGGTAGGGTCAAGCTTGGATGTCTTGAAAGCCCAGTTAGTCATACGGTTTGCTTCCGTGAAGCATATATGAGACAGCAAAGAGAAAACCACCTTGGAAAGGTAGGTTAGGGCCACAGGGCCTAATCAATATCTGGTAATCAATAATCTGCTTTCTGCTTCTATGGATTTATCTATTCTGGATATTTCATATAAATAGAATAATACAATATATGACTGTTTGTGTCTGGCTTCTACTTTGCATAATGTTTTCAAAATTCAATTATATTATAGCATCTATCAATATATTCATTTTATTTTTATTTTTTGAGGCAAGGTTTCACTCTGTCACCTAGGCTGGAGTGCAGTGGCGTGTGATCGTGGCTCACTGTGGCCTCGACCTCCTGGGCTCAAGTGATCTTCCCATCTCAGCCTCCTGAGTCACTGGGATTAGAGGCTTTTATGCCTGGCAAGCAAGTTAGGAGTTTAACATAGATATTGCTATATATGTAGTTACTCACATACACACACAGATACTATATCTACCTACCTCCTTACCTTATACATATAAGAATGTGAATCCTAGTGTATTTGCGGGACCATACCTAGAATTCCTTAAGCTATATATAGCTTGGTCTCTCAGGTCAGAAGCTTACCTCCCACTCCGCCAATTACCTCACCCCCAAGGTCACCCTGACTTGGCTACAGCTCCACCTTTGCTGATGTGCTTCTGTTGTCTAGTGGTGCAACGCTGCACTAAATTGCTGAAATAGTTCTTGTGGCTTGGAAGAAGCCTAGCACAGAGTTTGTACCAGGGAGTGGCCCACCCTGGTACATATCAGTGGGCCATTGCTTAAGAGGGATAAACTGAAAGTTGTCTGCAGGAGGCTTTCTCAACAGCCTTCTTTGCAAAAGACAGCTTATAAAGCCTGTAGCGTGACCAGATTACAACCCCAGCACTTTGGGAGGCCGAGACGGGCAGATCACCTGAGGTCAGGAGTCTGAGACCAGCCTGTCCAAAATGATGAAATGACGAAACCCCGTCTCTACTAAAAATACAAAAATTAGCCAGGCGTGGAGGTGTGC